ACTGCTTCATGTGCACACTGCATCCTCCCTGTGCACACATTGCATCCTCTCACTGCACGCTGCATCCTCCCTGTGCACACACTGCATCCTCCCACCAACCACTGCGTCCTCCCTCTGAGCACTGCATCCTCCCCAACGTGTTCACTGCACGCTGACTGGGGCAGGACCACAACAACGCATGGAGGACACTGGGTGCTCAGTTCCCCCCTTGCTGGGAGGGCTCCCCTTCATCCCATGTACTCAGCCCCATTTCGGGAGGGCTGGGAAGGGGAGGGTTGTGGGGGCTGCAGGGCTGGAAGCCCCCGCTCTGGAGGTCGGCTCCCTGCGCATCGCCTCGCCGTGCCATTCTGCAGCGCCTTGCTTCCTATCATGGAATTTTAATTTGGTTAGTTGAGTTCTTTAAACAGTGTGAACTTGCTAAGTGCTTTGCATATTTTATACTCATGAGTAACATTTATCAAACAGAAAGTACAATTAATCAAATAAGGAGCTTTTGTAACCCGGAGCGGTTTCCCTTCGCCCTCATCTCACCCTCCGCATCCCCTTCTCTCCCTGCCACTGCCCCATCTGGAAACACATATATACTGATATATATACACAGATATCCATATTACAAGCATTTTATGTGTGTATAGATATATCTCTGTCTGCACATGTTCATGTAGATGCATGTATCCATGCACCTATATCTAACTACTGTGTAGATGCACACGTATGTAGGTATGGTGTGTGCGGTATGGGATACATGTGTGTGTATGTATAAATGTGTAAGTATATACATATATGTGTACACGCATAGATATGTGGTCCAATTAAACTCTATTGATGTACATACATGCACACAATATTATATTCATAAAATTATACACACAGTCTCTAGAGAGAACGTTTATATGTGCACTGCACTAGCTAATAACCAGTATCTAGTAGCTGCCATCTAGTATAGTATATAGCATAGAGTGTATAACATATAGCAAAGAGCATATAGCATATAGTATACAGCATATAGTGTATAGCATATAGTGCATAACATATAGTGTATAGCATATACTGTATAACATACAGCTGGTGCTGGGCACCCATGGTGCCACCACCCGCATGTTGGTGGCTCCCAGCAGCACAGGGAGAGCACTGACCTAATTTGTTGTGACATCCCAAACCCACTGCAGTGCAGTGCTGGAGCTGTGGGGCACAGGGCAGTGTGTGTGGGGTGTGGGATCCCCTATGGGCCCCGGATTGTTGGCACCTGAATGGGGCACGCAGCATGCTGATCACTGGGAACAACGCGTGCAGTGCTGGTCAACTCACCTCCAAACGGTAGTGTGAAATTAATTAGAATTAATTAATCAGAAAAGGGTAATAGGGGTGATTAAGTACCTGGGGGGAAAAAAAAAAAAAAAGTCTTGAATGTTGTAGGAATGGTGATTGCCTCGAATGGAGGGGAGTGAGAGGTGAGTGCTAAGGGATAGAAGGGGTGGGGATGGGGTCTGGGGGGGCTCAGTGCGTGGGGATCACAGTGATTGGGGCTGGGCAGAGGGGAAGGGAAGGGGAAAAAAGGGAAAGGGAATGGGAAGGAAAGGGGAAAGAAAAAACATTAAAGTGGAAGGGGAGAAAAGGGTAAGGGAAAGGAAACATGGGAAAGGAAAAGAAGAAGGGAAAAAAGAAGGGAAAGAGGAAAGGAAAGGGAAAAGGGAAAAGGGAAAGGGAAAGGAAAAGGAAAAGGAAAAGGAAAAGGAAAAGGAAAAGGAAAAGGAAAAGGAAAAGGAAAAGGAAAAGGAAAAGGAAAAGAAGAGAAAGAGAAATGGGAAAAGAGAAAGGGAAAGAAAAAGGAAAGAAAAGGGAAAGGGAAAAGGAAAGGGAAAAGAGAAAGGGAAAGGGAAAAGGGGAAGGGAAAAGGGAAAAGGAAAAAGGAAAAAGGAAAGGGAAAGGGGAAAGGGGGAAAAGAGAAAAGGAAAAGGGAAAAGGGAAAAGGAAAAGGGAAAAGGAAAAGGAAAAGGGAAAAGGAAAAGGGAAAAGGAAAAGGGAAAAGGAAAGGCTCGCAGAGCTGCCCGCCCTCGGCCGGGCCGTGCCACGCTGCCCTGCTCCCCCCGGCTTCGCACTCAGGCCGAGAGCCGCACTCGGAGCGCGGCGCAGCGCGGCGCAGGCTGAGGGCAGCGGACACGCGGTGCCGCTCCGGTGACGGGCGCCGATGGACGGGCGCTGCGCTGCGCTCCGCACGGCCCGGCCTCGCGGGAGGCGGCGGAGTTCCGACGGCGGCGGCACTGCGGGACAACAGCGCCTCCTGGCGGCCGCGCTGGGGTACTGCGCCCCGGAGGAGGACGGTTCGGCGGTGCGGGAGGAGCTTCCGCTGTCCGCCTCCAAGCCACGCCCCCTTTTCGGCACGTGACATCGCCGTGACGTCACGCCGAGCGCCGCCTCACGGCGCGTGGCCGCGGCCCGAGGTAACGGCGCGGGGCGTCCCGGCAGGAGGGGAGCGGCTGGGTGGGGGTGGGGGGGATACCGGGACCCCGCACACGGGGCTGTGGGGGTCGGGAGCCCTCGGCAGCGGTCGGCGGGGAGGAGGGGGCGAGCGGCTCCGCTTTAGGCCGCTTTAGGCCTTTGTGCTCCCCCGCCCCCCCAGCTCCCAGGGCCCCAAACCCTCCTGGGCCGCACGGAGCCGGGCCGCGGCCTGCAGCCGTGTGTGAGCGGCGGGCCGTGTCCCCCCGTGTCCCCTGTCACACAGCAGGTGGGGGGGGGGGAGGCACAAAGCGGCACCGACGTGCGGCTCTCAGATCCTCCGCCCTCAAACACGGGGCTGCGGGGCGGCCCTGAGGAAGGAGCGGCCCTCACCTCCCTCCCTTTGGGGCTGCCGTGCTGTTCTTTGGGATTTCAGCTGTGTTCTTTGCTCCCTTAGGTCACAGCGCTGCCACGCTGGGATATCAAGCTGAGGACCCCGAAACTGCCTCCGCTGCCGTAGGAAAGGTTTTGTGTCTAACGGGGTCTTTGCTTTATTTGTGAAGGTGTTTGAAGTCCTCAGATTCAGCCTTTGGCCACCTTAAATCTCGCCTCTGAGCCCCGGCGCAGTTAATCACATCCGCAGTGGTTTGAATTATGGGATGTCTGGGGGGGATTTATAGCTTGTATTGCTGATTATGCCTTGACTTTATTATATGGCACATATATCTAACTGGTGGTCATGGCTGAGATTTACAATCCTCAGGTAGGTGCTTAGGAGAACTTTTAGCAACTCCAGATGTAATTGGAGGTGACTGACGGGGCTGTCAGTGCAGATAAACACGTAAAATGTTAATGCTCTTAAGTTGGAGAGAGGAGGCAGAAAAGGTGAAAAGGCTGGGGCAGCCCTCAAAGGGAGAAATGGGGTATTGCCGAGCGAGGCTGAAGCATCCCTGCCTGGGAGGCTGTGAAAACACTTTGTCGTTCCTTTTTCTGCTCCCCAGAAGGATTTTAGGGTTTGAAATAGCCCAATTAGGGGGTGATAAAGGGTGTCAGTCCCAAGTCAGGGTGCTCACAGAGCTGATCTTCATGGCTGTGGCACTGACAAGGGGAGGGTGGTGATGCTGTGCCTCTGGGGGGCTCGCTGGGAGCCCTGCCTGGTGGGGGGGCTTTGTGCCTGACCTGTGATTTCTCCCCCCCATGGAGGAGCAGTGAGTCCCACAAGGGTGCGTGCCCCACAGCCAGCATGACGAGTGAGGTGGTGGAGAATGAGTTTGAGTTTTACTCCAAGGCAGAGAAGTACTGGAAGGATGTGCCCGCCACAGTGGACGGAATGCTGGGGGGCTACGGCCACATCTCCAGCATCGACATCAACAGCTCCAGAAAATTCCTGCAGCGCTTTCTGCGGGTAGGTGGCATGGGTTGATGTGGTCCCAGAGCTCTGTCTTCTTCCCTGTGCAAAGCTGGGCTCTTCCCTCTTTGCTGCTCTGCGAGCTCCCACGTGGTCGTCCCATTTCTCTGAGCTCAGCCCCTCACCATTGTCACTCCAGGATGGTCCCAACCGAACGGGAACAACCCGCGCCCTGGACTGCGGGGCTGGCATTGGCCGCATCACCAAGCGGCTGCTGCTGCCCCTCTTCAAGACTGTGGACATGGTGGATGTGACCGAGGACTTCCTCACCAAGGCCAAGAGTTACCTGGGGGAGGAGGGCAGGCGGGTGCGCAACTACTTCTGCTGTGGCCTCCAGGACTTCAGCCCAGAGCCCAATTCCTACGACGTCATCTGGATCCAGTGGGTCATTGGTGAGGGTCGCTCAGCTTTGCGGGGTCTCACTTGCCTGTCACAGGTACCCCACGTGCACAGGGAGGGGCTTGAGGAGACCTGGGGCTGCTGTAGACATGAGCGTTGCAGCCTGGCTGGGTAGTGGGTCTGACCCACAGAGGGGCAGTGGGAGGGCACTGCACTGTGGCATCTTTTCCCTCCAAACTCTGAGGCCAGGGCAGAGAGGTGTGGGTTGGATAGAGCTGGGACTGAGCACACAGGATGTGGGCTGAACATCCCCAAGCTTTCTACTGCTCAAATATTTGTCTGCCTGGAGCAGGAGGGATCCCAACCACAGCCTCCCTTCATCCATCACACTACCTGAGGGGGTCCTGCACTCACTAATACCTGCTTTGCCCCCCAGGACACCTCACTGACAACCACCTCTCTGACTTCCTGAAGCGGTGCCGTGCTGGCCTGCGGCCCAATGGCATCGTGGTCATCAAGGACAACATGGCTCAGGAGGGTGTCATCATGGACGATGTGGACAGCAGTGTCTGCAGGGACCTGGATGTGGTCCGTAAGATCATCCGCCGGGCTGGGCTGCACCTCCTGGCTGAGGAGCGCCAGGAGAACTTCCCCGATGAGATTTACCATGTCTACACCTTCGCCATGAGATGAAGGTGCCTGCTGATGGGAGGAGGTCTCTCCAGGACCAGGACAGCAATTCCTGCTGGGGTCAGGAGGGGTGAGGACTGTGCCTTCACCACGGGGCTGTGTGTGGCAGCGAGGGCGTTGTGACTCCGTCTGTGTGGGGCTGGTGGTGAGGATGGGGCTTTGTCTTCCAAGTTGCTGCTGTTTGTGAAAAGAGGTGTTTGCCAAATACACTTTTCCTGCTGTTGGACTTAAGCACGTAGGTTCTGTTAGATGGCTTGATGCTGCACCCAGGGATCTGTATGCAGATGCCTGTCACTGCTGGGAGCAGGAGAGTTCCCCCTGTCAGGGATGTGCTCCTTGGGCACCTGCAGGTTGCTTCCTGCTTGTGAGCAGGAGCTTGGTACATCTCTGTGGCAGGCTAGATTACCTTTCCTGCCTGGGTGTCCCACTCATGAACTCACTGTGGCTTACAGAAGCGAGGGCTGAAATTGGCACCAAGTTAGATATGGCAAACAGAAGAAATCTCTGCCATTGCCTTATGCTGTGCTGTAGGTTGTGGGGCTCTGAGAAGGGCCTCCTATAAACCCACAAAGCAGATCTCTACACATGCAGCAAAACAGGTGGCAGACATAACCCTGGGCCCTACACCTCCTGCTTAAATGCTGCAGCTGCCTCCTAGCTTTTAACACTCCTCTGCCACATCCAGAGCATTTCTGCCCAGCCACTGGCTTGTGCCCACCTAATGCACCACAACTGCTAACACTGGCACAACTGCTCACCAAGGGCTGAGCCCACACAGAGCTGCTGCCTCCCATCCCTTGTGATTCCTCCCCAACCAGCTGGAGCTCTTGCTTCCACCCTGACTCTCCTGCAGAAGAAACATGCACTCCGATGCTATTTAAAAGGCCTTGTTTAATTGCTCATTTTCCACTGCAGACAGCAGGGAAGTATTTTATCACATTATTATTATTTTTTTTCAAAACATCGATTCATCAAGTTGCACAGCTCCAATTCCATGTAGCAGGAAAAGGTGAAAAACAGATGCTGCCAGGAGGGGCAATGTAGTAAAATAGCTCTTCTACAATGAACTGCTTGTGGATCCCAGATCCACTTGCTATAAATATCTGCTCAGAGTACATTTCTTCCTCTTCTGCATCTGTTCTCCATGACAAACAAAAACAACAGAAACATGGGGGGCTCAGCTTTACAGCATTTTCTGCACTTCACAAGGAAGTAGATGCCTCCTTGGTGGAGCCAGATGGTTGTGACAGGTTGGGACCTTCCTGCAGAGCCCCAGAAGATGGGGCTTCCAGTAGCAGCTTGGCAAGAAAACTCCCATTGCAGCCCTGCTGCAATTTCTTTCCCCTGGGAAAGAGGCAATGGAGATCAATGTTCAGCATGCAATCACCAAAGGAGCAGATAAAAGGAACAGGGAGGAGCAAGGCACTGAGGAGATAGCTGCCCATTCCTCATCCTTGCACAAGGACACACCAGGAAGCCAAGGAACAGCCACTTGTCTGCTTGCTTTGGAGTCCAGCATTACTGAGGCACCCTTTGCAGGCAGTGCTCTGTGCTGTGTGGATTCAGCACTCTTGGCAAAAGCTCTGAGGTCACCGAGCATTCAGGCTGCTGTTGCTAACCCCACTTCCCCTCATCCCCTGCAAGTTCCTGGTTTTGGAATCACAGGTGAGTAAAGAAGGCACCCACATCCAGGCAGAGATGCAGGACTGTGGCTGCTTCCACTGACAGAACAGGAGGACATGAATGCCAGCACTCCCCTGCACGTTGCTGCTCAGTTCCTGGGACAAGCAACATCTCTCAGCATCCTGAGGCATCTCATTGTGCTGCCACTCACTCTTGGCACTGCTTCACCCTGCAGCCAGAGCAGAGACCTGTACAGTCACACCATCCTCCTGCTCTCATCCCTTTTCTTACAAATCCACATTCTTTCACCTTGCAAAGGTGAATCCACCTTTTAAACCATATTCCTCCTGCAGTGTCCAGCTCCCCACTGCCCAGGAGCCCTCTTCACCCCCAGGCTCTGCCCACTTCCCTGCAACATATTTTAAAGCCACGAGACCTCCACAGACGTGCATGCAGCATTGTGCACAAAAAAGTACACCCCTGAAAAATCAGCAGAGACACCACAGGCAGAACTAGTAAAGCCATGGGCACAGGGACAGCAGTACCTCTCACTGCACAGACAACGGGCGCAGAGCAGTGATTTGCTGACTGTCAGTAGGCATTGTGACCACAGAACGAGGAGATGAGGAGTCATCAGTCAGGCTGAGGTCCTCATGCCCAACGGCAGTGTGGTCAATGAGGAGGTACCACTTCAGCCTGTCTGGAAGAGGCAGAGCCTTGATTTTTACATCTATTGGCCAAGGCCTAAGGCGCTGCCGGATGAACACCCTGCAGAGATGTTTCAGTGCCTGTGGGGTGTGCTCCAGCTGCTTCACAGAGCAGAACAGACTCCTGATCTTTTCCTCGTGGTACCTGCAGCTGTTAACGTCGACCTCAAAGTCGCTGGGCAGCTGGATGGTTTGTGAACTGGCCATCATGAGTTCCAGCAGAGTCTGACCCATTTGGATGACCTCTGTAGAGATGCTGCTATCTTTGAGGATACTGACGTCAGAGCAGAGGCAGTCAAAGACAGTCTGAAAGCCCGACCAGCATGAAGGACCGTGGAGGGAGCAGTTGTAGGCAGCACCTGACTCCAGCAGGAAACGCAGCAGTGGGAAGTGACATGTGAAGTTCTGGAGGCAGCGGTAGGTCAAGGACTCGAGGGATGGGCACTCACTGGGATTGGCACCATGGGCCATGAGCAGCTGCATGACACGAATGCAGAAACTATTTTGCACCTCTGCCAACTCCGTGCTTGCCAAGTCTATGTCACCCAGCAGGAAGATGATGTAGGTGAAGACAGTGTCACCATTTTCAGTGGTAGCCCTGGCATCTGCACCTGGAGGAAGGAACAGAATATAAATGGAGCTGTAAAGAAAATCAAAATGGATTTATGAGAGACACTAAAAGGGGAGAAGGGGTGTAGATCCTTTACTATCACCAGGAGGTATGAAACACAGTACTTAAATGCATCATGCACTCATACAACCCACCGTGGAACTGACAGCAAGATAGCTGACAGTCACAGTGCTTCTCCCTAGTGGAAAAGTATTTCAAATCAGAGCACCCCTGGACAGAGTGCTCTTCTGGACTTTATTCTTGCTCAGCCAGAAACATAAAGGAGTTGGGAGGGCAGCACCTGGTGCTGTACAAAGAATCAGCAAGCACCAGGCCTAGAGGGGTTCAGAGTGGAGAAGAGAGCAATTGCCCTCACCTTGTTCCAACAGGAGACGGATGCTCTCTGTGATGTCGTCCAGATCCACAACACTGCTGCAATGACAGTGCAACAAGGCGTGCAACAACGCTGTCTTTCCTGCAGTATGAAAAGACAATCAGATGAGACAGTGCTCCACCTGGAAACACTCATCCCCAGAAGGAAGGAAAAGAATCCATCCCACCAACCCAACTGCTAAACACAAGGGAGACAGCCCTTCTGCTAGCAGGCTCCCAGCATTGCTGTGATGGAGCATAGCTGTGGTGGCACAGCTGGGGCTGGTGGTGGCCCCAGAAGGCACATGAGCCATGGCAGAGTGGTTTTTAGAGCACACCCCCCCCCCCCCTTCATCCCCCTCTCCCCCATCTTCCATAGGCTGTACAGAGCTGCTTTTAGCCTCCTGCTGAATCTAATACAGACAAGATACTAGGAGACAGCACAGAACACCAGGGAGGTTCTGCAGCCTGCCTTAATTTTCAAAGCAGGCAGAATTTGCAGCAGCAAGGTGAAGGGACACAGATCCCATGCCCCGCTCCAGCCCACCTGCTGGAAGCACCCCACAAACCAGTTTTGTCAGCCGCGTTGACGTCGGCCCCAAGCTGAAGCAGCCGCTGGAGGCACGGCAGCCTCTCGGGCTCCTCACTGGCCAGATCAAGGGGACTGCTCTCATGGATCTGTACAGGGCAAGAGGAAAATCCACAAGTATTAAGGACTCTTTATGAGTACCTCTGGAGAATCACTGATGGGGCTTCATCATGGCCAACATCAGAGCATGTAATTCATCCTGCCCCCAAAAGCAAGAGTGGCAGCCCCCTCCCCAGTGTCACTATGTCTACAGGGAGAGGTTGATCTACCCCAGCTTCTTCCCACCAGCCACTCCACTGCAGAGGCAGGTCTGCTTGGCCAAAGGCGGCCTCAGCTTTTGCTACAGCACTGGAACAGTGCAGGTGCAGCTTGGGAGGCCACTGATGGCAGGTGGCATGCAGCAGGCCCTGGAAGGGGTAGCAGAGAGGGCCGGCCCTACAAACTGGTCCTTTGCAGCCCCAAGGAACTGGAGCATGTCCGTGTCCAAGCAGTCAATCCCGTACCCGGTCCCTGCGGTTGATGTCGGCCCCGTGGCGTGCCAGGAGCTCCACCATGTCAGGCTGGTTGCGAAGCACTGCAATGTGCAGTGGGGTGTAGTACGTGACTGGGTCTGAGGACAAAAACACGTGGTCAGAACTGAGGGATTTCCCAGACATGGAACACATCAGGGTGAGCACTGAGAATAGTTGCCCACAGAAGCAGTTGTTACAGATGCCCCAAGTCCTGCAGCTGCAATGGCTTTGTCTCTGTTAAAAGCCCTCAAAGATGCAGCTGGCTCCCATTCTCTGGCCATCCTCACCTCCATTCTTATGGCTGGGTTTAGACAAGGCACATCTAATCTCTCAAATCCAGGAGTGGGAGCCTGAGGCCAGAGCCAGCAGCACCCCTCCCTTTTTGTCCCAGCTATCTCTGCCTTGCAGGGCCAGCTTCTCACCACCCAGCCCCTCCCAGCCAGCCCAAGGAGCAGAGTCAAGCACAGTGCCCTTCCCACAGCCATACCTTCAAAGCTGAGGTCTGCACCAAACTCCAGGAGTACTTCTGCAGCCTTGACAAGCCCCAGCTCAGTAACCTTCAGCAGGGTATAGCTCACACCTTCCTGGTAGAATGGGGAGTGGGCTTCCCTCTCCAAGACTTGTCTCATTGCTGAGAGCTGGCTTCCATTGCTGCCCAGGCAGGCATGACTGGAAATGAATGAAAATAACCAGTTACTCACCTGGGCAGTGTGTGTCTCCTATGGGCTTACAAGGGTCAAAGTAGGGAGGGAGAAAAAGCCCAGGTTTCTCCTGTTCTCTTGTAAACTGTTGGCTACAGGGTTATATAGCAGTACTGGAGTGCAGCTGAAACCCTCGTGAGCTTCCGTTGCTGCAGGTCAGCCAATTCCTGAGGAGCACACACAGCCTCCTGTTTGCTCTGCTTCATCCCACGTTCCCAAAGGACAGAAGGAGAATGGTCCTCAGAAAAAGGTGCTCACTGAGACAAGGCTTTTTCCCAGTGAGCTGCTGAGCTCCAGCCATCACCATCAAGCAGGTGTTTATCCCCAGAGCTCTGCTTGCAGCCCGGTCAGTTACCTTTCAAGTGCATTCTGCCTTTCTGCATCCTGTAGCGCCAGCAACGCCAAGATCTCATCCACCAAGGGCTGGTACTCGAGAGTGATCCTGCGGAAGCCGTGCAGGAAAGGCATCCTGCAGTGCTCTGCTCTGCACACCAGCCCCGCAGGGCCCTTCCGCATGGCAGAGCCGCCTGCCCGCACTCAGGAACCCGCAGGCCGACCCAGGCCTGGCTTCCACGGGGCCACCGCTCCTCTGAAAGCAAACACGGAGTAGTTTTGCATTCAAAAAAACATCACTTCCCTCGTTCCCAGAATTCCCGACCCCCCCCAACTCCCCTCCAGAACCCGGAGGCAGCGCCGGCAGAACCCACCAGGCCGTCCCGTAGGGCCCCAATCCGTCCCCGCGGAGCGAAGCCCGAAGGCAGCAACACAAAACACCGCCGCGCCGCACGCACCTCCCCGCCCCGCCGCCGGAAGCGGAAGTCGCCTGCTGCGTCATTCCGTGGGCGGGCCTAAGGGTGGGCGTGGTTTAGCAAAGGGGCGTGGTCTCTCTGGGGGCGGGGCTACAGCGCGCGCGGCCGCCAGGGGGCAGCGGGAGAACGGGAGCGGGGCGGGAGCGCGCGCAGCAGGTGCTGGTGGGCGCGAGACACGCGCGTGCAGCCGCGCACACACACGCACATACACACACACGCATGCACGCACACACACGCATGCACGCACGCACACGTGCATGCACACACAAACACGCCTCAGGTGTGTACACGCCCCACGTGCAACTGCAAGATGCGGTGTGCAAGAGGTGCACGCACCCGCAGCTGTTCTCACGTGCGTGATGCGTGCCTGCAAGCGGGTGCACGCACACCACTGCACACGCACACACCAGTGCACACACCAGTGCACACACATGCACACACACACACACAGATGCACAGATGCTCATCCCGCCCCCTAGCAGTGACAGCTCCGTCCCAGTGCCCTCAATGGCTCTGCTTCTGTCCATGCCATACCGGGTGCATGCAGGTGTGCAGCACGGCCCTGCAGCTCCATGCATCCCCATCGCCCTACAGGGAGCACACAAAGGTGCCCTCATGACCCCAAGGTGGCCCCTACTGCAGCCATAGGGCTGTGGATGCCCCCCCTGCACTGCACCCGTTGGCTATCAGCTCCCTGGGGCTGGGGATTTGGGGACTGTCAGCACCATGCTCACATCCATGGTGTTGCTCCCATCCCCAATCCCTCTGTGTTCCCCAGACCACCAGTGCAGGTGGTGGGCACTGTCACCATCCCCAGCCATGCGGCAACACAAGGCATCAGGCAGGACCATCCCACACCAGGCACTGTTAGGGAAGAAATCATTTAGAAGGCAGTGCAGTGAGTGGGTGTCCCTGTTAACATTCCTAATGTAACCCTGCTGTGGCCCTGCCATATCTCTATCATGTCGCTGCTGCAGCTCTGCTGTGTCCCTGTTTGCATCCCTGTTTTTTGTCCCTGTTTGTGTCCCTGCTGTGTCCCTACCATGTCCCTGCTATGTCCCTGCTGTGACCCTGTTATGCCCCAGCCATGTCCCTGTAGTGTACCCACCATGCCCCTGCAGTGTCTCCATCATGTCCCATCCGTGTCCCTGCTGTGCCCCTGCTGTGCCCCTGCTGTGCCCCTGTATTATCTCCATCATGTCCCACCTTTGTCCCTGCTGTGTCCTTGTTGTGTGCCCACCACATCCCTGCTGCATCCCCACCACGTCCTCACCACATCCCATTTGAATCCCTGTCGTGTCCTCCTTGTGT